ACGTGGCCCTCGAGGACCTGTGGTGAGTAATTTATGCTTTTTTTTTTTTTTTTTTACATAGAGTTAATCACTGAGCTTAATAAAACCTGATCCTTTGACAGGTCGCTCTTTCATGCTCAATGAAAATGTTTTTACGGTACAAACAGTTTCATTTGTTTTATTTATTGTCTTTTAACACAGGCTTCTATGCTTGCAGTTGGAAAATTACATACATTTATCAAGGACATGATTGTTATGGCAATATTAGGATTTTATTAGGGTTTAAAAAAAAAATCTGAGGATTGTTTACCTTTAGAACCAGTTCTAGACTGGATTGTTTTTGCACGGTCGGAGGTTCTCCACAGAAATATGTCATAACATCACTTTCATCTCCATTATATAGTTTGTAGCTCTCTCTCTCTCTCTGATGTATTCTGAACCTTTATAAAGGATAGCAATACATAGATGTTGTTCATCTTCACAGATTGCAGCATTTACGTAGTTTTATTCTGTAAACCAATAACCTGATATCACCGGTCTACTGCTTGTAAGGTATTATAAACGACAGCGTTTAAGAATGCTGAATAGCATTTCAGCTTTTGCTAATCAAAAGCATGTAGTTGATTTTGTGAAAGGTGTTAAGATATTTTGTTTTGATTAGGATAATGACATACCATACCATTTTATTTATAGAGCACTTAAAACAGCGACAAGACCAACCAAAGTGCTGTACAGATAGAAAAACAGGTAACACACAAAGCAAAATACAAAATGAGGTAAATCAGAATATAGACATAAAAACGATGCAGATAATAAATATGACCACAAACCAGTGTGGAGCGTACAGGTTCAAAACACAGATCATCTGGTGTTGAAAGCTACTGAATAGTAGTGGGTTTTTAAATGGAATTTGAAAACCGAGAGGGAGGGGGCCAGTCTGACAAGCAGAGGTAACTCGTTCCAAAGTCTTGGTCCTGCTACAGAGAAGGCCCTGTCACCTCTGCGCTTAAGACGAGTTCCTGGAACTGTGAGGAGCAACTGGTCCACTGACCTCAGGGAACGTGGTG